TCTCTCTCTCTCTCTCTCTCTCTCTGTCTGCCTATCCTTCGATCTTCTTATTCCAACGCGTGGTTTTATCGCGAGTAGGATTCCAGACGAGCAAAATTTCGAAGAAACGACGATTCTGTTGCTCGGGCTCTTACCCCGTAACTGCCGAGGTTACATAAACTCCGAAAGCTAGGTACACGTCACGAGCTTTTGTTAGCTCCGACGAAAGAGACGCGGCCATGTATTGCGTTAATTTGTATGCTATGTACAGAAAGAAGAGAGCTCGAGGAGTAAACAACGGCTGCAGTCGCGGATCAACTCATGCTACCTTTCACGAATATTTCTTGAGAAAATGGCGTTTCTTAATTACGTGCAGTGGACATGCGCTTCTAAAACCTGCATCATTATTGTTGCATTATTGAGATTACCTGTGTCGTAAAAAATTAGAGGACATTATTTAACGCGATATGTTTATCTCTTGTGTAAACAGCTATATACTCACTAATTTAGTAAAACAGTTTCAGACCATTTAAGTGAAAAATTTATTTAAAACTACAATAAACATATCGAGCTGCACAAATATTATCGATTCGGGATACCTTCAATTTTATTTTCTCAAATGAATGTTATCATGTAGATCGTTGAAAAAGAATTCTAGACCTTGACGGTTCAAAAGCGACCTAAATAATGCATCTGTAACTAAATTAGCAATAAAATAAATATATTAGTTATATATAGTACATACAATTAATATTCCTTTCGATTCTGCACAATCGACATCGTTCTCGTTCGATGCAATGAAGAAGAAAAATTCTAAACTAAAGAACAAACAATAAAAAAGAAGAAACAAAATTTTTTATCTTAATAAATAAGTAGTATTATAAGATTTCCATTCATAATTCGTTTAACTACAATTTGTCCTATATTGATCTTGTTCAAGACTCGTGATCATACTGGTTCATGTTCGAGTATCGAAATGATGGGTGTTCGAAAAATTATGTGTTATGACAGTAATTTATTGATCTTTCGTCTTTACTTGCAGTTAGTTGATTGTTCACAACGGCGCAGAGAATTGCTTAGAGAATCACTTGGAACACACTTCGAGAAAATTATACTCTAGAGTGAGAATCATACTTAGAGCATAATCTACCGAATCATTTACAGAATCACTTATACCATAATCCACAGAGTAGTCTACAAAATCAAAGTCTCTCCCCGCGAGCCTGTTTTGTATAAGTTGGCTAGCCGCCTCTAGCCTAATCATTTTCAACTATCTGAAAGTTGATTGACCGACATTCGGACATTGACCGAAGAATCAACGTCGACTGTTTTTTTTAAAACTAGCGATCAAAACAGACTCGCTCGATCGGTTAGCGATCGATTTTGACAACACGTTCGCCAAAACGTGGTGAGCGGTTAGGACACCTTGACAAAACAAAAAAAAAAA